GCCAGTGAGAAATTAAAATCATCTTGAAGGAACCTATTAAGACAGGAGCCCAGACATCCTTGAGAACCTCAAAGAGGAAGTTGTGCATCAAAGCAGGCAGCCAAAAAGCACCAGTAACTCAAAACAGCATTCATAGCCTTGATCAAAGCCTTTTGACAGCAGAACCTCATTAACATTGTGAGAATGAAAAAAAGCATCATCTCTTTGAAACACCTTTAAGACAATGATGCACAGTTAAGAAAATGTCTTTCAAAGCAAAGCAGCAGGAACTATTTGGAAACTGTGACAGTAGAATTGCTGAAGAGTTACCTCCAGGAGCACATATTTCCTACTGCCGAGGCAGACCTATGCAGTTACATGAGATGCCTCAGCACCCAGCAGCAATCTTCCTCTCAACACCGCTGCAGGCTCTCTAGCTGCAGGTCTAAAAGCACAGGGGAAAAGTGTGGATTTCCACACACGAAGAAAACAGCTGACTATGCATTAAATAATGCAAACCATTTCACTTTCAGTTTTAGCTTAGGAGGAAACACAGATTAGTGTCAAAGCCCAGGAAAAGAATATAAAACCAAAACACAACAGCTAGCTGATTTATGTAGATTTGTTTTGTATGGCTGCTAATCTACGGGTGTAATAACAGTTACACTAAACTACCAGGAGTTACACTGAGCAAGGAACTTATTTTCTCCTTTAAAGTATATGAAAGAAATAGCCCAATACATTAGAGAGACCCATTCACCACAGGCTGCAGCAAGAGCATATTAGGAACTGACCAAAGGTCACAGTGTTTTTATCAGAAAATACAGCAGGTTTGCTGACACTTAAAAAAATCCAACAACCATGTACACAATGATTGCACACACAGTCCAATGCCCCTGCTCTTACCTTCCATGAAACTGAATAAAAGCTGAGACTTTTAAAGGAGAGTGGTGAGCAAAATTCTGAAGTAGGAGGAGTTTAGAGCCACAATGACTGTCCTCTTATGAGAAAAAGCAGCATTCTGAGGACTTATTGAGGTGTACAGCCTTTTACTTGTGTTCACCAGCAAGGACACTCCAAAGCCCACCACAGCCAGGAAGCACCCTGTCAGCTCCGAGCAGTGCCATGTTGGTGCAAAGCAGTAGGGGAAGCCAGCAGACTGCATGAAGAACAGAAGTTATTAGGTGCCCGAGACAGTGCTAACAACACTCTAAGCCATGGGGCTACTGAAAGGGATGGGATTCTGAAAGGATTCTTAAAGCAGCTGTTGCAAAGAAGGGTGCAAAAGAGACATCAATGCACCACTGTGCTCTACACTTGAAATATTGCTTCAAAATTCATGCAGGAAGCAATGCTAAATCATCCAGGTATAAGGAGGTGTCTAATGCACACCACTGGCAGCTAGAGTCCTGCTCACTTCCCAATAAAGTTGAGATAACAGCAGGATGTCAGGACATGGTTCCCTACAGGCATCTGGTACAAATCAAGGCAATCACAAATGCTTAACACATTGTTTTCAAACTCAAAAAATGAGATTGGACACTCTGCGTGACTAATAACATTTCTTTTTACATTTTACCCCTCCTTTCCCTATCTTCCTTCTCTGGTCTGGCTCAAAAAAAATAAATAAATCAGACTTGTAAAATCTCTGGGGATGGGATCAACATTCTGTAATCATTACTGCAACCCTGCAGCCCTCTCCAACCCCAAGATAAACCATCCAAAACTAAGAGGGGATCAGACTTCAAGTAGAAGTTTTGCACATTTGGCCAAGCCTAGCCACGAGTTCAACTCCCCAGTTAGAAATGCTTGCATGAACTTGGCTTTGCACAGCACACAGATTGGAAGATAATTCTGGCCCCAAAAACGTCGTAATCTGACGTAGACAAAAAACCACAGCATGCTAAGAGATAACCAGAGGAAGGTACTTTGCAAAGAAATATCAGATTTGCTGGTAAATTCTGCTCTTTCACTAGTTGAGGAACTGCTAACTGATGGAAATGAAACCTGCTCATCTGCACTCGATTCTCTTCAGCAAGAGAACCAGGCTGATTCCTCTACCCCCTTCTGCTTGTTAGTTCATACCCAGCAACCACAGCAGCTGCTTTATGAAGGAGCCCACACCTCATAGCTGCTCCTCCACAGTCAGGCCAGCAGGGTTTGCACCAAGCACACAAACCTCCTAATAGTAATTAGCTCCCTGCTCCCCCATTCAATGGTACATAAGGGAATTGATAACTTCTAAGCACCAAGACACTCCAGAAAGGTCTCCAAAGGTGGCAGTCACTAGATTTATGTGCCTGCCTGCTTCCAGATTAAACACTTTTATTATCTGTTTCATCTACCACCTCCTCAGACTCCTGCCGAGTGCGGCTGACTCCTGTCATCCTGTTAGACAGGAAAAACACAATACATGGAAACAACATGGCATAACTGACCCCAGGTGAGAGTGCTCAGTGAATACACACACACCAGCCTTCCCGAATTATACATCGCAGCTCTTATTGTTTTAGATTTTAGGAGCTAAGGGAGATCAAGAGCCACACACAGCACCTTTACCGAACTCTCACATTATGCAAAGGCGTAGCATCCTTGTGCCTGGTCCAGGTACACCTAATTTCTAAGAGCAGGGACTCCAGGTTTGTACTTGTGGAGTGTAGCACAGAGCTCTGCTGACAGTGCATAGTAAGAAACAGAGCTGAACTCCCTGCCTCAGCTGTCCCAGTGCCAGCTGGCCTAATGTGGTGGTAAGAAACTGGGAAGGTGGGAACCCAACAAAAAACAGTCTCTTTCTTTTTCTTCTTAAATTCTGTTACTAAATACAAACAAAAAGGAATAGGCAAATATGAAGAGGAGGTTTTCACACCAACCTTTCTTAGTACACAGGACAGCCTAACCAGAAGAGTTACAATCAGATGTTATACTCTGCATGTATAAAAAGGAAGTTTTCTGCCTCAGCTGGTCTCTAAATCCTGCCAATCAGTAATGGCAAAAGAAACCTAGAAAAGAAGACAGGAAAATGCAAAGAGATAGGTTGCAGAAATTCGAGCAAATAACAAAGTGCTACAATCCTTTTTATACAATGCATTCCTCCACTGTTTTTGTATAACATCATGGGCACGGAGAGATGACAAGGAGTAAGTGCTGCAAAGCTTCACCCTACAGAAGACTCTGAAAACTGTTAAGCTTGTTACGTAAAGAAGTAACCACAGAGAGGGGAAAAAAATCCACAAAAAGCCCCTTTTTAATTAACACCTTTTAAGACATTATACTTCCACAGGCAGGTGAAGACAGTTTCAGTCTGATTAGCAATAAAAAATTACAACAGAACATCAATCAGTTCCCCGTTAAGTGGGCTTTTGCAAAAAGTCCTTTACCACAAAAAAACCAAACCAAAACAAAAACCTTAAAAATAATTTCCTGTTGGGGAAGCACCTTGCTCCCTCCTTCATCAAACACTTACCCATTTCAAAAAGATAACAAGTAACCTACAATAAGACTATAATAAGACAGATACCCCAAGAAACATCAAGAAGAGTTGCCAACTTCTCCCAAAATAAGCACAGACTTTCTGGACTAAGACTGTAGTGATTTAAGTAACTCTGAGGCCCTTGTAACTTAAGTTTTTTTAAATTAAAGCTACAAAACACTGTGTTTTAGAAGTCAAGACACACACACACCTCCCGACCCCCCCAGTTTCAGAGCCACTGTCGCCCCAAGGTACAGAGAGCATCGTCTGAGCACATGCATTAGAGAAACAAACACCTTTCTAAGGAAGAGAGCCTGCTGACTCAGTTCTTTTCCACACTACCCAGCTTCCTCCTGCTCCAGCCTCCAGACAGTCACCCTGCCTTGACCACTGTGGGGTTGGGCCACAGAACACGCATGCTGCTCACTGCAAACAAAGAGGCAGCCACGGCACTCACCGCTTTAACAGACACCTACAGCCCTGCGGAAGGTAAGGAGAGTGGAGAAAAGCAGACACCGAAATGACTCATCCCTATCAATCACGAGCTTTTCCTACGAATTATTATTAGAAACCCTTTCTTGCCTTGCTTTCTTGCTGCAGCCGCCACTCCCACATCCCACTGTTGCTGGAAAGCTGAGGCGAGCACGGGTCCCTCTGGAGTTGCTGCTGCTGCAGGGTTAACTCCTTGCTCTCCCCTGCCCAGCCAAACACCCCTCCAGCCTGAAAGCTCTCACCAGAGACCGAGGGTGAGATGTCCGACTTTACCAAGCAGGGCAAGGCAAGAGAGGGCTTTTTATGGCTTATGAGGTACCATCGCAGCAGAAAGGAGGACGGTCTGCAACAGAAACAGAAAAGCAGGCAGAGGATAGACTTGGTGGCGGCTGGGGAGAGTAGAAAAGAGGCCAGGGTAAGGAGCAGAGGCTCCATCACAGGATAAGGAGAGCAGCGTGGATGGAGGAGCAGGACGGAGCCTGGCAGGGCACAGCGGGCGCGCACCGGACAGACCTACCGACAGGCTGAGAGCAGGAAACAAAGTCAACGAAAGAACTAACCGAACCGCGGACGAGTAAGGTCGGACTCGGCAGGCGAGAAGGAAACACGGGGAACGGGTGGGAGGGAGGCGGTAAGAGAAAGCAGAAACCCCACGCAGCCCTCCTCAGGGTCACGGAGCCCTCACTTCAGCTGAAGAGGACCGAAGGGCTGCGAGGGACAACCCGCGGGTCGGGCCCGAAGGCTCCCCGAGGCGCAGGGCGGCCAACGGGCCCGCCCGGGCTCCCCTTTCCCGGCTGGGGGCCGCACGGCATCGCTCCGCCACCCGCGGCCCTGCGAGGGATAAGGCCCGCACCGCCGGGCGGGAAGACCACGATGCTCACCCCGCCAGCTTCCCGCCTCGCCCGTACCGGAGCGGGCTGGCGGCTTCACCCCCCTCCCCCCAACAGAGGGAAAAGGAGAGGAGGGGGGGAAGGCGCAGACCGCGAATGGCGGCGCTGACTCCCGAGGAACCCTTCCCAGAGTGTCCGCGTCCCCTCTCCCGGGGGCAGGGGATACTCACCTGGGCTGGGAGCGGGCCTCAGCGTCGGCGGGAACGCACCGTGTGGCGGCGGCGCAGCACCTCCGCGCTTCCTCCCCGCCTCGGCCTATTTGAGCCGCGAGGCCCCGCCCGCCCTGCCCGGTGCGGGGAGGGGGGGGGGAACGGGGGAGCGCGGCACGCGCCGCCCGGCGGGCGAAACGGTCCGGCGCGGGGCAACGGTTAACAGCCAACGGTCAACGGCCGCGCGGGCTGAGGGGCCCGGGGGTCGGGGTGAGAGGGAAGGGGCGCTGCCCGCCTTCCCCCGGCCGGTACGGGGCAGGGCTGTGAGGAGGAGGAGATGAGGCGGCGATGAGGCGGGCCCGCTGCGGAGGGTGCGTTGAGGGGCTTTCCCCGGCGCGGCGGAGTGGGGGGAAGGCCGGCGTCTGCTCCTCAGAGAGAGCCCGGCGGTTATGAAACCGACCGCGGTTCCGGTGCCGGGGGAGGGAAGGGGGGTCTTCCCCAAAATCGTCTCGCCCGCCGCCGGCGCAGCCTCCTCCTGTGAGATCCGTCGGCGTGTGGGGGTAGAGCAGCCCCGGGCCTCTGGCCCCCGCCGCCGCCAGGATTGTTCTAGAACTCGGATGGGTTCTTGGTCTCCTTAGGCTCCTCCAACCTTAGGCTTCTTGGTCTCAGGCCCCTCGTGTGCCATCTATAACCACTTCCATATGCAACCCTTCTTTAATTTAATAGAGTTTTGTGGTTTCGAGATAGTTCACCTTAATTCTTATTCAATACAGCCTTACCGTTTCACCATACTCTCCTTCAAAGCAATGCTTTTTTTTTTTTCCTTCTTTCTTTGATACAGGTTTCCTGTCACGCTGCCTCCTCTTCCTGACCTGCTGAGTCACGGTCCCCACTTCCAAGCCCTTGTTTTGCCACACCGAGCACGCAAAGGGTGTTTAATCAGGAAGGGGCTGATATTAGTGTGCTTTTTAAAGTCCCTGGGAATCCACAAAACGAAGACCAAAGCAATTCTTATTCAAGTCTGAGACATGTGTTTACCAACCCATCCCATGGCTTCGATGCTGGGAATTTTGTACCAGGGGAAAAAAGGGACATGTAAGTATCTTGCTGACTTCTGTAAATTCCAAGGAACTGAAGAAAAGTTTCTGTTTTTGCAAACTGCTCGAGTTGGCCTTGGAAAGTCAGCATTGCAAGCCCCAAGTAGGCAAAACACACACTCTGTCTTCCTTCTGCCCAAAGTGTATATATTTCTTTTGAGAAATCTGCATTGATTTTTTAAGTTTTATTATTGTTATTTTGTTGCTGATATCTCAGTAATATAGACTATTTATATATTTTCATTAAAAAAATTAATAACAAAAAAAGGTGATTTTATCTTTTGCTTACAGGAAACCACGTGATTGCCATGTCTGAGACATTCAGAAAAGCACCACGTATTTGGCAAGTTTGGAAATACTCGTTTATCTGCTTCCTTGCTCTCCACGGGTGTTTACACTGTGGCAAAGACGCCAAAGGAAAAATGGTACTTTCTCCAGAGCTTGTTTTGGGCAGTGGGGGTGGTTTTTTTTTTTTTCCTTTTCTTCTTTTTTCCTTCTTTTAAGTGCTATGTAAGAGGATGGAGGCTAAGGAAGGAGGGGACTGTATTGCTTCCCTCGAGCAGTATCTATAAAACGAAGCAGGAGGCCCCCTCCCTCCCTCTGACATGAGATGACACGCAGGATTGACATCTCTGGCAGGATGGCTACGTGACAGGATGAGCAGCCCCGTGTCAGAGCACTGTTGCTTTCACTCCTTCATTACCAACTGTAGGATCCTTTTCTCTGGTAACAGCTTCCCTTGCTGCTGATGCGTAGAAGTTAAGGAAGATGCACTCAGGCCCTGCTTGAATTCTTAAAGGGAACATCCTCCAAGAATGCTTTTCCTGGAGAGGTGTGTGGCCAGGTAGCATCCTTATAGGATTAGGTTTGCATTCTCCTATATGCAGGACTTAAAAATGCACTTGGTAGTGCAGGCAGCTGTCACAGCACTCGTGGTGAGGTCCTTTCAAAACCTGATAAAACACGAGGGAAGCCAGAATGCCATGCTTTTCCCAGTTCTGTGCCAAAATGTAGGTGAGGCAGCTTCGAGGGCATTTCACACCATACATTGTTTCACATTTTTTATGTGGTTTACGTGTTTCTTACGCTGTTTCACACCACGTGCAGAAAGGGTCAGAGGCTCCTGGAGGCTGCTTTCATTATTGATGGAAACCGAAAGCAGCAGCTGCCACCATGTTGGGCTCGAGGTGGGATTTCTTTGTCACAGAGCCTTTTTCTGGTGGTGTTTCTTAGGGACACGTGGCTCATCTGTGCAGGCAGCGTGACCCTGCTCATCTCCGAGAGCTCTCCATCCAGGGCTGGTGTAGCTCTTTACCAAAGCAAGCCATCCAGGAAAGTCTCTCTAGCAGACTGGTGGTTCCAGCTGTAGCTTAGAAAATAGCAGAACCTCAGGGATTTTAATTGAGATCAGGGGCTAACAAGTTTGTAATTAAACAGCCATGATGAAGCGGCACGAGGCTGGTCTCCTAAACACTGGATGAGAGCCCACCTTCTGTGTCCCAGAGCCCAGTGGTCACATTCCATATATTCACTTCTCTTGTAGCATCAAGGGAGAAATCCTTGCAGACTGGCCTTTTGACACCAAAGAGGTCCCTGCCAGGTAACCACAGGTTTCTCCCACTGCTATTTGAAAGCAAGAGACAAAAGGACAGGAAGGACTGTAGAGTTTGAAAAGTCCCCCAAAGAAGTGCTGAGCTGTGCAAAGGAAGGAGCGAGCCGTGTCACTGGTGTCACCTCCAGCACAGCTGCCATCCCTGGCCGCCCCGCGCTGCGCGGGAGGAAATCCCAAGGCCCCTCATCACCCCCCCGCTGCCATAATAGATCTGCTTTAATCCAACCACCTTACAAACTCCAGAGTTTACCCTTTGTTTTGAAAACGGTTGGGTGGGCAGGAAAATTAGACTCATTGTTTGGGATTTCCCCCAACATCCTGTGTGTTTTCTGCCTGTGAAAAAAAAAAAACAACCCTACAAAGTTGTACCATTTCCCTCACAGCAGCGGTGCTGACTGGATGTTACTCCTTGGGGCTTCAAGCTCCTGATGTTTACTGGACCCAGATGCCACCACTGAGGCTGAGGAGATACACAGACAAGATGCCTTTTCTGACACAGGAGCTGGTGAGGTTGAGCCTCCGAATCCTTCCAGTCTGTTGGAGGGGCACAGCTCCGGAGCTGCACGTGGCTTCCTGAGCTGGCACGGCGCCGATGAGACGTGGGCATGGAGTGTGGAGGCTTAAGACAACACAGTCAGCACAGAGGCACTGATGTCATTCACTCCTTATTTTACTAACCACTGCTGTACCAGCGTAGGAAGTTCACACTAGTGCTACAGGCTAAGGAAGTGAGCTGCAGCTACAGAAATGAAATGTTAGTTCCCGATAATTCAATTTATGCTGTTCTTGCCTATTTATCGTTAACTTCTCTTCACATCGAACCTGAAGAAATAATGTAAAATACGGAGAAAGGAGGACCATATATTGGGTTTATATCAAGATCAATTTGTTTGTACCTCAGGTAATTCAGATGGGCTCCGGGTGTTGCAGCAAAAGGCAAACTGAAGAAAGGCCCTTTTATCTCATCTTATCTCATCTCAAGAGCACCTTCCCTCAGCTCCTGGCTTCCTTTTTAACCATCAACGTGGGAGTGAACGCAAGGGAAACAAACGGTAACTCCACCAACAAAAAGAAAAAATAATTAATGACTTTATTTTTTTTTTTTTTAGTTCAGTTGGCCATCTGAGGTGCTAAAATCTCAACACCAACGAAGCAAGTGTGCATAAAAACAAACGATAAAACACAACCAAACGGAAGAAAACAGAGTTGTTCCTTTTACAGGTAGGGTATATGCTTTTCTGTTAACACTCCATACATGCCAACCGTAAAAGCCTCGAACAATCTGAATATCAGAGTTCACTTTCATACAAAAGGGAAGATGCCAGAGCAGATCCCTTCACCTGGATTAGACTTCACGCACACACGCATGCACGCACAGATACAGAGTATTGAAGTTACTGCAATGCCATCAGAACTCGGCATCCTCCCCTTCACATCTGCCTTCAGTGACATCCTCCTCTGCCCACCTACCCTGCCTATAGCAGTTCTCCCAGCAATCCAAAAGCAGGAACTTTTGGAAAGCTTCTAATCTCTGTTATTGTGCAGTGGTCAAGAGCCAGCGATCTCTTTCTCTGTCAACTATATACAGGCTGGTTTTTAGAGCGCTTTAGAATTCTCTTTATTGCAGACAGTGATGACTGAAATTCCCATTTTGTATGCAGGAGATTTTGTAACGCAACACCTTTCTCATCCACTGGTGTCTGGTGTAAACACTTCATTGAAAACTCATTTTAAAAGAATGTTAACCAAACAAGGTGTAGCTGTGAATGTTTTAGGAACAGCTGCTAAGAAAACGGAACTGCCGGCTGCTCTAGATCATGCAGTCTAGACCACTTATAATACTTCATAATTAGGATGTATAAAAATATTAAAAACCACCAGAGTGCACACAAATGTGGTGACTAGCTCTATGCAAGCACCGTGTTCTAAGAGAGGCCTAGGCATTGCACAAAACTCAGAGTCTTGACCGTGGGGGTAACCCAAGGACCCACTGGTGTCTTTACATACAAACAAATATTTACATAGAATGCAGAGACGGAGAGAGAGAAGGACAGACTTTTAAAAACTTGCGGTTTGCTCTAAAATATGTTCAGCAATGCTGTTTGTAACATGCCCTAGCGAGACCATGGGGTATTGGTTAACTGAAAGAAGGAATATGTCTGGAACTTGGAGCTGAAACGTCTTGTCACCTCCCCACGCACAGTTCTTCGAAGCTCAGGATTTTACAGCCATTTGTGAGTTTTAGGGAAAACACGGTTAAAAGGAACAGAACAGTTTTAAAAAAAAATATATTGTACTGTGAAAACAGCAGATTGGTTGTTCTGGCAGTCCTCACTCCCCCATCCCCAGTCACCTCCTGGCTGTTTCTAGGAGGTGGTACCCCCCTCCCTTCCCCGTAGGGGACTGAAGTGCTCGCCCCATCCTTGGCGTGCCCATTTCACCAGGAACACAGGTTCCAAGCTGGGCTCTCCTCCTACTTCTGCAGGGAGGAGGTGGCCACCACCCCCAGGTACGGAGTGTGTCCCATGGGGATGGATGCCCCCGCATAACGACACGGACACACGTCATTGAATGTACACGGCTGAGTCCTGTGCTGCCGCCCACCCGGGCAGCACAAAGAGCTAGAACATCCTACTTGGATTCTGATACAAATAAGGGATCTTGTGGTCACAAGAGCCTTCTTCGATTTTAAAAATATAAAATTTGAATTAAAAATATTCAGATAGTAAAAAAACCCAGTATCTGATATGCAAGTCATATGCTTAAAGTGCAACTGAACAGCAAATACAAATTGTGCCTTTTTCAACCACTTTGATATAAAAAGGCCTTTTAACATTCCTTTTCATGTGTTTTTAATTAATTTGTGTGTGCGATGTTAGCTCTTCATTTTCATTCTCACTGCTGGAGGACTTCAGTGTAACCTACAAAGGTCAGTTTCAGAATGTGTGGCATTACCCCCTCAAATAATATCACTCTTCAGCATCACGAAGAGTCTGGCCAGCATCCCCCAGCACGAAAGGGAAACATACTGAACTGGTATTTCTTCTTCAGGGTTTCCTTCTGTTCTACAGCTCACATTCAGTGATCTTTTGTCGAAGGTTAGATGTGGTCCATGTACCTCCTGCGCTATAAAAAGGACCGAGGCCCATCCTCTGCTCAAGACAGTTTACAATAAACTTTACATCTAGCTGCCCTCTCTCTTCCCTCCTCCTCCTCTCCAGATCCCCCTGGCCCCTCGCATGCAGACGATGTAAACCTTGTGCCAATTAGTGGCCAACGAGGAGAATTCTGTTTGTTGGGCACCCTGTTGGTAAGCCCACATTCCGTGATGCTGGTACAGCAGGCACCACTTGCTACCGTGCACAATGAGTAAGTAGCACTGCAGCTGCCTGTCCGCTTGGTTTCACGAGCATCTGGATTTAATTTGTGATGCCTTGGCAGAAAGTACTTAGTGGGGGGATGAAGGGTGAACACTTGAGGTGGAAAAAACATGTTTCCACAGTTAACAAGCACCGGTCAGAGTCTCTGGGGACAGCCCTACTCATTCTTCTTCAGCCTGAGGTATGTTCCTGAGTCAGAAGTGAATTCAGATCCTAGACCCCGGCTTAGAGAAGACCTCTTTGAAGGAGGTAGAGAACCATCAGCAAGAAACCATGCTAACTTCTGTCCTAGGACAGAAGATTTAAGGATGTTCAGCCCTGCTTGGGTATACCTTGGGTATACCTCAACAGTGTGAGCTCAAGCTGAAAGAGTCAGTACGCTCCATGAATGGGACACTTCCTCAAGGACGTCGGGGAGGAGGCTTAGTACTTCTTTAACAAGAAAAGAACATAGCATTCTGAGGGGAGAAAGCCTCTTAACACATCACATCAAGGATGGGATGCACGCCCAACGCACAGCCCTATTTCAGCTCTGCGGGACAGGTTAAGGATGTAGTGTGCTCAGGGAATCTGTCAAACAGTGAACGGTGCTGAATTGCTCAGTGCATGTCCTGCTCGTTGCTTAGTGGATGGTTACAGTGAGTACCCTCCTGGCTGAAAAGCAGCAGCTTCACCAGCTGAGCCAAAAAGAGCTTCTTCCAACATCTGCAGCAGGAAATGTGCTACTTTTATTTTCATGGAAGTCCCTCTAAGCTGTATCTCAGGAACGTGAGGGTCCCCTCTTTCAGTGAGAGAGACACATACAGGATATTTCTACCTCACAGTTTTGGCTTTCCCGTTATAAAAATGTAAAATTTAAATAAATTATAGGTTTATTAGTCCAACAGAGGGAATCTGGGATGCAGAAGAGAAGTATGCTAGGAACACGAATAGATTCTTAGAACTCCATGAGTGCGTGGGATTTTGTCATAAAGGAAAACTCCTAGGGCAGGACGCATCTGTGGGTCCCTAAAGGCTGCCCTTGCTGTGAAGCAGGGCCCAATCCGCAGTAGTGTCTTTCTCTAACAGAGTTAAAACACTCCCTCCACAATCAGATATGTGTAACAATCAAATTATTAATAAGAACACTAATAAATAGCCACAGGTAACAACGTCCAGTAATTTAGAAGTGGAAGTTGTAGGATGCAGCAGGCACACACACCCATCACTCGTCCATTTTTTTTTCCTAAAAGATACAAAAATGAATCTTCTTTCAAGTATTAAAAAAATAAGTTAATTGACATAAAAGGGTCAAAGTGACTGAGGGCCCAGGCAGGTCTTAAGCTTTGTTTCCAATGTGCAAAAACAAAATACAGAGGAAAAAAAAAAATAAAAACACTGAAAAGTCTTAATGGTGGTTCGGTCACTTAAGGACTTCTCCCTTTTAGGGGCCTAACAGCCAGGGAATGCCGCCTGGTAACACCCCTGCCCCAGCACACACTTACCACTGTCCCACAGTCAGTATTTTCCAGTGTCAAAACAGTCACAATAAAAACAGAACAAAGAAGCCCACCAGCCTCTGAGCTGTGGCCGTGAAGACTAAGGCCAGCAGTAGCTGTCTCTCCAGTGTGTAGCAAAGCAGAAGGGCATCTTCCCTCTCTCTTCTTCTTCCCTTTTTTCCCCAACAAGAAGATTTAGGAGGCTACGGTAGGGAGAGAAGTCCTCTGATGCCCATGTCTCTCTAAAAAATCAGGAGGCAGAGAGTTCCATCACACATACTAGGAGTATCTTCTCTCTCTCATATTTCTTCATATCCATGCATAATGATCAACTGCAGGTTTCTTTGGTGGGGAGGAAGACTAAAGCAAAGAAGGTGTTGCCCTCAGGGCTTCTGGAGCTCTCTCTCGGACAGCTGACTCCACCAAACAAGCTGCTACAGGCTGCTGTGGTTTTCCAGAGAGGGTTGTGGCTTCCCTCCCTTTTATTAGAACTGGTGTAGTAAAAATGGGAAAGGAATGGACTGCCAGGAATCCAGTTTAGTTAGGGATACTTCTTCCCTTAACATCCTTCCCCACACATGGATTATTCCTCTCCTACCACACACACAAAAACACGGTCCATCGTATAGGACCTCAAGGAGACTCCACAGTCTCAATTCGCTATCTCCAACTTGCCTTGCAGACATGTAAAACTTAAGCTTCTGGAACCAACACAATTATCAAAAGGCTTCTGAGTGCTTCAAACCAAATCCCTGCATGCTGTCGGACCCTTTGGAGGATTCCCCTTCAGCATCTTCCTATCCATGTAATTCCGGCGAACTCAGGGTAGGCCAACTGGACAACACAGACCAGCAGAGGTAAATGTAAGCTCAGGACCAGTTCAAGCTAAAACCTTTGGAAAGCATGACTGCCTCCAGGTCCTTGTCTTCTTCTTTTTCTCGAAGCCGTTGCTCCTCAAGAAGAGCCACGAGAGAATCTCTCTGCTCCACTACGTCTAGCATCTCATTCAGGATCTTCTTCTCCTCTGAGAGCTCCTCATCTGTCTTCAGATGATCTACAGAGATATCAAAAGCTATCAGCACACACAAGGCTGAATACACACACACGATTTATGAAATGTTTCCTTTTGCTCTCACCTTCTACTGCCATCCTCTCCCGGAGCTCCTGCTGTAACCGACTCTGCCTGTCTTCCAGTTCTAGCTCCCGAGCGCTGAAAGGGAAACAGCAGGAATCCAAGTTCTGGGTATATTGAGATACTCCACACATTGCTTCACTTCCATTCCCAATTTCTGCTCCCCCTCTAGGTACCCACTCTGCATTTTACCAACATCCTTTGGAACAATTCTTAAAACACCTAACATATATAACCATATTTTTAAAAGATTTCAATGTACTTTCAGCATCTCGGGTTCTTTACCTTCAGACAGGAAGTACAATACACAAAATTGAGCAATTATGGGTGGGATTAAATCTAAAATGGTGTGAAGGAACAAACAAATCTGCACTCACTGCAAAATGACACTTCACCTCTTTGTATTTCCTGCCAATTCCCACTGTAAAAACAAAGTCATTTATCAACTAAGGATGTGTCAGGCCATTGCCTTTTCAGATTCCAATGCAGACACCACCTTGGGGCTTTTCTGACACAGGTACTATGAGGATCAGCTTCCACACTGCCTGGGTGAGCTGACATACTCAGAAATGAATTTCAGTGAATTTGCAGTATAGGGGTTAAGAAAGGCCCCCAATTTCATTAAAAGCAAAACCCACTTATCTTCTGAGCCCAAATGAGAGGCGCTTTGGGTCCCACTACAGGCAGAGGGACAACACATGCCAAAGGTGACTGAATTAAACACTTTTGGCTACACTTAAAAGTGGACTCTCCCCAAACCAGGAGTCATCATGCATTAGTTCTGCATAGCTTGAAAACACTTGCTTCAACAAAACGTGTTTTATCCAAGAACAGCTTGGGAAGGCCTCAGAGCTTTAAACATGCATCCATACTTCTGCATGTGCACAAACAGTTGGAACTTTCATTCCTTATTGCTATTATTCCTTCTTCTTCCACTCTTATGAAATGTACTTGGATTCATACCTCAGCCAAGAATCAACCAGGCTGCTGACTTCCTGGTGCTATAGGCAAGACAGTACTGACAGATGTCCCCATACTATTTGCAATGTAATCCCTTCTTTTGAAGGGACTTTCACTCACAATATCATCAGTTCAGACTCGTAGCGAACCAAGGCATTCTTCTCCTGCACCAGCTTGAACCACTCCTGCATCAGCTTGGGATCATCCTTCTTCCCCATGCCTGCCAAAAAAGAAACCTGGTAAGTTTTCAGTTGATGGATGCCCTGCAATCCTTACAAGCCCAGACTGCAAAAACAACAATGGGGCAAAATGTGCAAAGAAAGCCGAGCAAGATGCTGCCAGAGCACTCCCAAGCCGGGTCCATTCAGTTTGTCTTGAACACACAGAAGAGTGGAAATCACCTCCAGAAAGATTCTCTTCTCTCTGGAGCCTGAATATTTTATTATTTTTATTGCTTTCTGATTTTCTTGTCATTGCTTGTTTCTTCCTCAATCATCATGCAGAAAGCCCAGATTTCTGTATATATTTCACTTTTCCTTTCATTAGAAGAGCTTTATAGATCCTTATGCCAGTTACTTAAAATGTATACTTATCAGAAATGGACTCAATTGCCATTCTATATGTTTTACCTTTATTTTCTTCAATTGCACGTCCTCAATCTTTGATTTTACTGGCCAAAAGTAACATCTCTTCTTTTTCAATAGCTAAATAAATCTTTTCTGACTGCTCCTCCTAGCCACATGTATCTACCCGTCCTGAAGATCCCCCTCTGCACAGTGAACACAGAAACTACTTCTACTGTATCGCACATAAGCTCTGGAAAGAAAAAGAATCCTCTGACATATTTGCTAATATCAAAGCAGAATAAAAATACATTGGGCCTTGGCCACCTCACATGGAACTCTTAGTTGGTATTTCTTCTATTTTAAAACCAACTCCTAAACTTCCTCAGTAGTCCACTGATGCATCTCGTATCTGCCAGGAGTTGTGTGGAATAAATTGTAGAATGCAGTTCCCAAAGCCTTCTGTTGATATTTATCAAACGGAGGAGCTTACCAGGGAAGTGCCTCCCAGATATCTCCTGCTCTGCACCACTGATTCCACACTAAACCACCTGCAGATGAGCGTTGTGACCTCTAGCAGACACCATCAAGGACACGAGCGATGCGCCTGCCTGCATGGAAGCGGAGGCAGGAGCAAGTCCTCAAATCAAGCTCACCAGTATTTTTGAGTTGCTGCATCCTATCAGCTTGTGCTGCGTGTAACCTAGGCATCCTAAAATAACTAACATCTCTGTCTGTGTTAGTTATTATGGAAACATACTGTCTACATCAAGAGGAGAACCTGTCAAATAGTCATTCTGATGCTAATAATAATCAAGCAGTAAGTTTATTATTCAAACTCTGGGAAACCCTTCACGAATACCGCATTACTGGCTAGTTAATTCAGACCTGTGCCCTGCCTCCATCCTTAGGATCTCAGAGAAGGGCTGCACTGGAGCTAAACAAAGGAGAACCTACAACTCCTATTCAACTGCAGTTTAGGCTGAGAATACCTGCCTTTGAAAAATGGTAATAGCAGACCAATGGGGAATACCAGACCCAGTTGTACCACCCTAAGAGCCTCCGGCTCTGCAGACTTTATACCAGTGTGTTGCTCAGTTCCAAGCATTCCTTTCTAAGCATCTCTGCACAATATGCCCGTGTGGCGACAGGAGAGGGAGACTGTACATGCAGATGTCCAGTGCTGTGGCGCCATGAAAGCACTGGGAAGTCTCCCCATCCTCTCCGATGCCAGGATGTATATAGAAAACAAATGCCTAAGAAAAAGCCAAAAAAACACAAGGCTACTGACCTATGAAATACAGAAGTATTTTTAAACAGCCAATGAGCAGAGGAATAATGGGAGGGTTGGGGAGGGAGCACTGACAACTGATGTGAGGGAGCACCATGGAAAGCAGAGTAAGTGGTTAGCAAAATTACACCATGAACACACATAAACAATCCCTTCCCCCATGCCTTGGCAATGGAAACTCTACGGCAAACTCCATTTTGGGACAGTTAAAGACCGCACTCAGCACGACAGATGAGGGAAAACTGGTCTAGCTTAAGGTCTGTTGGTTTTTTTAAAGTTCAAGGATGTTTTTGCAAACCAGTCCTTATAAAGACACAGTATTCCTTTAATCCATATCTACTAATTAAAAAAGCCATTTAAGGAAGGAGATTTTCATCCCTTACCCCACCTTCCAAATATTTTCCAGGAGGAATAGAGAAATGGAAGCCACCAAATGAGAACAGAAACTTTTGAGTGTGACGATATTGCTCCCGCTGCTGCTGCCCAATGTCCCTCCCAGTGGCTACACCTTCCCTAGCACAGCTGGGACTAGCAAAAGGGATACTGTACCTTTAATAACTTGCCATAGGCTCAGAGAAGCTGGTTACCAGTTTGCCACTGGGAAGGCTGGTTTGGGGACACAGCAAGAAAATGGCTGGGGGCCTTGTGTTCACTATCTGACTAGTGCTGCTACGACAACCCAGCTGTGGTCAAGGAGAACAGGGAGCGTGTGAGGTTACGTTACCTTCATGGGCACAGCAAGGGCAGAAGGAGAGAGGTCTACGACGTGGTGTCCCGGCATTGGGCTCAACTTCAATAGGACCAAACGAGGAAGAGGAAGAGGCAGGAGAGGAAGAGGAAGTTGGAAGTGGAACGGAAAAGGAGGAAAGGGGTGAAATAAAAGACAAGCAAAAGGACAAAAAGCATAAGAGTGAGAAAGAAAGGAAACACAAGAAGAAAAGAAAAGAAAAAATACAAGAAATGGAGAAGCAGAAACAAGGGATACAGTCTACAGATGAATAATGTCCCTAATAAGCACAGATAACAGGTAAGAGGTAGACTGAGGTACTGGTGAACTCTTACTGAGCTGTACAAATACCAGGCAGGAGGTTATTGTTACCGTACTTTTTCCTAACATACATTTGTCAGTAACATGGTCTTTAACCACAAGGTTTGTGAACAAGATGTCAGGACGAGCAGAGATGAGTATTTAACTCCTGCTGATAAATGTCACATTTCAAGGAGGGGTTACGAAAAGTCTCGCCTGCATGCATAAGACACCAGCTCTAAGCAGCCACCCTACCTTACAAGCTTTATCAGGACCAATCTCTTACCACCATGGCAGCATCCACTGATGGTAAAAGTGTCCTTTTTAATGGAAAATAATTTCTTCAGACAGGGAACATCACAGGGAGAATCTGATTAACATGGAACCAGCCTGCCAGGATCTGCTGTGTCAAGCATGGTGAGTACACATGTACTCAACTGGGCTGTTGTGCTTAGAGGGGAAAAGGCTTTTACATGGATAAAAGAAGTGATTGACATCAGGGTCTGTGGGGGCAATGATCAGCTGAGGGCTTTATAGAGTTAAAATGGTAAAATTAAAATTCTCTCCCTTGACATTTTCATTTCATAAAGCATTTTAAAGTTTACAGGTCCTGTTAGTATCAGTGACTTACTGCATCTTTTCCATCATTTCTGTCACCCAGTGAAGGCCAAACATTTCTCATCTCTAAAATGGTTCAGCTGTTTTAGCACTGAGAATTTGCTTTTCAGCTGAACTTAACGTTACAGAGATAAACAGTAGGAAATAACCAGTATCACTAATAGTCACAGGAGAACATATGCACCAGGAAGGCAATGAGCCTGAAACATCAGAGCTAGTGGAATGGATGCTCACTGCTCTCCGTGCACAGCTGCATTTATAAAGGGGAGGCATTTCCGTGTTGGGAAAAGGCATGAACTCCACAACAGTAACATGGTAAGAATAACGCTTATTTTGGAGAAGTCAGCAGAGCTTGATACACGTGGTTTGGAGACAGCTTTAGAGAACTAGACTACTGGCAAACTGGGAAGGCTTTAGAAGGGACCATCACAGAACTAGACCAGCACATGGAGGACACACTGGAGTGAGAGGGAGAGCACATGGGCTTCAAAGCCTGCGACTGAGCAGCACAGATTTCTCAGACAGGAAGAAACCTCTGTACTGGGAGCAGGAATGGGCAACATTAGGAGAGGTGCCACAGTTGGCCGTACGACAAATAAAGCACTGTACCAACATTAGTTGACAGTATCAGAACCTTAATTCTAATTGTTCAGAATTTTCCAACTTTTCATTTAAAATGAAAAAGATACTAGGGCTTTTTTTTTTCCTACAATTGCCATTTCACAGTTTAGGTTACAAAAGCAAAAACAAACAAGAAAACCCCCAAACTGCAAAGGCACTGTAAAGAGTAAGATTCCACACAAAGTAGAGCATTTAGTGCATGATACCTGTAACATTTTTTATTTCACATCCTATCTTATTCAGCATGCATTCTTCTACATATGCTTTAATACTCTAACTTGGTCCAGGGGGGATGAGGAGAGGGACATTTAACTATATTGAAAAATCCACTTCCATTTTTCAGGGTTTGAGATTTCATTCAGAATTGTGTGTGTATATGTGTGTGTGTGTATGGGGTGTTGATAAGCCAAACACAACTATATTTATACATTTCAAACCATGGACATGCAGACTTGGTGAGAAATCCCCAATTTACCATATTTGATCTGAAAATAAATACCTGGTATGTGAAAATATCATTCAACTCATTGTGACATCACCACAAACTACTATCTTTTGTCATCAGTGAGCAAATAGTCTGATACTAGGAGAAGATCCCATCTTTGGTCTCCAGGGAAAAGCCACAGGACTTATATAGCAGAAAGCTGTAATACAGAACCCACTCCCTGCAATTGTGTTTTCTTCCTTTGCTCGTAAGTTGGGCTATTTTTTAACAGAAGTATTATCCTCCCACTCCCATCAAAGAAAAACATGTCCTTGAAACAAGTTATGAAGTCTATGGTATCTATAATAGTCCTGCTAGTGGAAATGGTTAACATCGCTTTTCAGCAAGATAATGAATATAATCAGTACTATTAAGATCCTTTCCAATTTCTCCAGATGTAAATTATAGTTGCATCAGTGAATACATGATCGTTACAACTGCTTTGGAAACGACTTCTGTCCACCCCAGGATGATTAGCAAGGCTTTAAGAAGTGTTTCTTACATATTGGAGGACCTAAACAGCAAGGACAGAGTAAAGCACAACCTGAAAACTTACCTCTTACAGTTCTCTAAAGCTGTGAAAACTACACCAATTATTACGGTCTAAAATCAATATCATGCAGTAGAATTTTAGATATATTTTTAAGAACTTCTAGTGATAGTAATGAAAACTGCCTCCCCACCCTTGCTACAAAAGAGTATTGATACATGTGGTACAGATACTATAAGCAGACAGAAATAGCAACCTTCTCTATTTTATCATATTTCCTAAAATGGAGAACGATTTTTTCACTGACAGCAACAAATCTTCAAGTGTATTCCATGTCACACATTTCACTATCACCTCAGATGAACTCTTTCAAGAAAAGTCCTCTTAACTATTTCAGAAAGAGAGAAGCGGGGGAAAAAATAAAAGATCGTTTGATAAATGTAAAAACCATTCCCTCAGCCAGCTGATAAAGTTTAGACAATGTATTATCAGATCATTCGTTTTCCTGTCAAGGTTAATAAAATAAAATAAAAAACCCACAAAAAAAAACCAACTTCACAGCAAGAGTTCCCGCTCTGTGAAAACAATCCTGGGAAAAGGCTGAACTCATCCAGTACTATTAAAAGAACTATACAATACCCTGGTTTACAATATGGTGTTAAAAACTGTTTTATCTACGTTGCCCTTATCACTTGTCTCATTACATAATGGAAAACCTTACACATCTTATTTCTGTCAAAGCCATCACTAATCCTATACCTAATTATTATATTATTGTTTGGAGAAGAGACATCACCACCTCATGGGCTCATTAAATTAAAAACATGATCATGGCTGCAAGACAATTTTCCTGGCCATGGAGTCATGCTTATCTTTTGATAAGCAAATTAAAAAAAAAATAAATAAACAATTCCCTTTCTGTCTAAGTCTCCTCCATCACCAAAAAACGAAGCTGACGGCAAGCAGAGGCATTCAGAAGAGCTCGTGAGGTGATCAGTGCAGGGCCAGGAGCTGCATCTCAGTGAGGAAAGGAGCGTGCCCCAGCTCCTGAGCACACTGAACATCTGCCTTGCAGATTAGCCACATTCCGTAAATAAAGTGACTGGAATTATCTTGACTCTGTGTAAAGAAGCCTTTCCCAGATCTTTCTGGAGAATCTTTCGTGCATCTGTGGCAAGAAAGACCTTGTTTGTCATAGTACTCTTGAAAGACTGCAGACTTTGCTCCAGTGATGGAAACCAAAGGCCAGGCCAAGAATAAATACCATCGCTCCAAAGCCTCTTCAAAACAAAGAAGAGAAATTGTATAACCACCATGAAAACGTACCTTCCCTTTCACTGCATGTTGTTCTTTGTTACACAAGCTACACAGGACTGTTGTCTTCTACTTTTCATTTAAATAAGACTTCTTCATAATCTGAAGCACAGTATAAAAAATGATTGACCAGGATGAAGAAGACACAGCAGAAAGTTTGGGGTGGCAGCCACCGTTGTCCCCGAGCTACAGCTCACGTTGATCCCCTTCACTATTTGCCCAAGTCCTGAGAGCTGTGACAGCTTCTGAGAAGTGGTGAGCCTCCACCAATCAACGTGACTTGAACAGATATACCACAGATCAAGGAGGATCACATCCTTTGCAAGCTTTGTGTTCAAAAACTTCGACTTCTATATTGCTGACTAACCAGGGTGGTTTGGAAATCAGCAACACTGGGCAGGAAACCTGGCTGTGAGGTTCATCTCAGTCCTCCTGACCCATTATGCTGGCACCTGAGCTCACAAGCTAAGGGCACGACACTTTAGAAGTTCTTATTCTACTAACAAATTCCATCACTCATTTAGCAGGCAGCCTAAAAGCTCCAATTATAACTCAGTGCTTAAAAGAAGGATCAACCCAAAAGAGATCAGTAAGACAAACTGTGCACTGATCACAGGAAATATCCTCTTCCTCATCTTTTAAAAATCAGTTATGGTCAGAAACCCAAGTACTGAAAAATAAAGTATTCCAACTTTATTATTTGGTGAAGCTGCTCAACAGCAGTGCTGTAAAAAAGCAAGAATACAGAAAGCTGCCTCTTGGAGAACAGCATCCACACAACTGCAGGTATCATGTAAAACTGAGGGCAAGGATTCTGACAAGGATCCCATAAGCACATCACTCACTGTGTCTGACCCAACAGTTTACTAAAACTGTGTCAAAAGCAATATCCTCTGAAGTACCATCACTAAAAGAAACCTGAGAAAACTCAAAGACCACTGAATTGTCATTCAAACTGAACCACATCTTTATTTATCCAGCAGAAGAGAGGAAAAAAAAGGGTGAGAAGGGGAAAGAAAACTTGGGAAGGCAATAGTTGGAGCGGAACACACACACAAAGGACTGCAAGAAGTCTTCTGCTTCTACTAGATCTCAAGGCACTTCAAAATGCACTCAGAATTAGTACAGTCCTGCAGTGGCCCTGCCTCCCAAGACTCCCAAGACTGTTTGTGCAGCTGTGAGAGGTTGCAGAAAGAAGCAGGTAAATGGCAATTGCTCGCTTCCAGTACCTAACAAGTACTCTAATTACACTTAACAAGTTCTGCTTATCAAGTGCTCTTTCCTGCTCCAAATTTACAGCACAGAAAACATGTTACCAGCTCACTTCAGTGTCAAAGGCAGCTGCAGACTGCGAAAACAATGTTTATCTTACAACTCCACTCCTCTTCCAGGAGAGCACTGTTTGCCAATCACAAGAAATAGGACTGCTCACACTTGAGTGTATCAGGCTCCAGCCCTGCAGAGTTAGATCTGAAGGACTTTAAAGGGCACAGTCAGCTGCAGTATTTTAAATAAGCTAATAAAAAAATGAGGTAGTTGTAAAGTATGATCTAAAAAAAGTATGAATAATTAGAGAAAAAAAAACCCACTATCACACTTTTCCCCCGCTGTTTACCTGATGTTCATAAGGTTTTTTACAAGAAGGGAGAACACGTGCCTGAAACCAGCACTGCCAAATCTACCAGCTCTTTTCTTTACATCCTTCTTGCCTGTCTCAGCATATCCCAGCCAAGAGCAAAGCAAGAGGGAGCGTGAGGCTGTTTCCTCAGTGGTTCCCTGCTGGGTGTGAGGAAAAGGAAGCTGCTCCTTTGAACACAGAGGGAACAACGGAGGTACTTTCCACAGGCAGACGGGGAGCAAACCGGGACAAGAAACTGGTGGGTAAGGAGGAACTGAGGCTGGGACTAATTAAGTAAGGAGACTAATAATGTAAGCCAGCAAAAGAGAAGAGACAAGAGTGGAGAGGGGAAAAGGGGGAAGGGTTGCAAAGAGAAAACAGATTTGTGGAAAAGATACGACCTACAATTTTCCAGACAAATAATGGTGGGTAGAAGAGGGAGCAGAACCCAAAAATTTTGGGATAAGGCCGGAGGCAGGGATTGAGGCTGTGGGGACTGAGTCATTGGGAAGACCAGAGCAGGAGTGAAAGACCAGTGGGGAGGAACAGGAGGTCCGAGGAGCAGAATACTAGGATGTCTTTGTTAAGAAGGTAGGATTAAAATTAAATGCCTGAGAAGCAAAAACTGGGACTAAGAATGAAAATGGCAGTGAGGTGAGGAGGTTTGGATGGGAAAAAAAACAGGATTAGGACAAGGGACTGCCTGGAGAGAGGGAATAAAAGGGACAAAGAGTTTGTATCCACCATAGCCCTATATCCTTCCAGCGTCTGGCTCAGAATCCCTGTTTTCAAGTCTCACCATTCCACAGCTGCCAGCAAACATCTGTGAAATCCACTGACCATGTCCCATTTCCTCTCCATGAGGATCTACACAGAGGATGACAACCTAGCACTGCTATCAGTTATTCCATAAGGGTATGAGCCCGAGTTCTCTGCGGTGCATCTGAAGGTTATAAATCTGTTGATATATCAACATAATACAAAATCTTAATTTCAGTTGACTTTGCAACCTTTGTAATGTTCTTTTACCGTAACTGCATATACGATATACACATAGGAATAATCACTCAGAATTGAAATGTGACCATCTGTAGCGTGAAATGAAACATCTGCTTTACAGCAACGGTACATGACATTTTAGAACAGGAAGAGATGATCATGGCATCTGAGCAGAGAAACGAGGGTAGTTAAGATAAAATCTGTATTCCTGCAAACTGGAACTTGACCAAGGATGTCAGAAGTTACCACTCCCTTGCAGCAGCTGT